CCATAGGAGAGAGCAGGAGACAGGTATGTAAGGTAGAGATTACTCTGGGAGGCCATAAGCTTTCCTGAAGAGATGGGTTTTAAGGCCCTTCTTAACCCCTTAAGGACACATGACATGTGTGACATGTCATGATTCCCTTTTATTCCAGAAGTTTGGTCCTTAAGGGGTTAAATGATTGAAGACTAGGGGAGAGTCTGATGGCAGTAGGCAAGCTATTCCATAGGAGAGGAGCCGTCTGCGAGAGGTCCTGCAAGCGCGAGTTGGTTGTACGGGTGCGAACAGCGGTCAGGAGGTGGTCACGGGCAGAGCCGAGGGTACGAGGAGGGGCATATCTATGGATTAGTGAAGAGATATAAGTGGGGCTAGAATTGTTCAGTGCTTTAAATGTATGGGTTAGCACTTTGAATTGACTCCTATAGCATACAGGGAGCCAATGTAAGGACTGGCAGAGGGGTGAGGTGTGAGAGGACCGACTAGAGAGGAAAATCAGTCTAGCTGCAGCATTCATTACAGACTGTAGCAGGGCAATACGGCTTTTGGGGAGACCAATATATATATATAAAATAGAAAAATATATGTATATATATATATATAAATATATGTATAAAAAAGTAATAAAAAAGTATATATATATATATATATATATATATATATATATTAAAAAAATGTAAATAAATAAATATATATATATATATATATATATATATATGAAAAAATAAATAAAAAAAGAGAAAGAAAGAAGAAAATAAATAAAAAATAAATAATAAATATAAAAATAATAAAAACAAAAAATATTAAAATAAATATTAAAAATAAAATAAAATGTAAAAAAAATGCTGTTGGCAGGTGGGTTAGTGAGGGATTTATGTATTTTTGGCAAAAATAAAAGATTGGGATAACCGGATGTGGATTGTGTAAATATTGATCATTATTAACTGTGATGATGTCTTGTTTCAATGCTTCCTTTAGAATAGTTTCTAATGTTTTGTTAAACTTTTCTGTGAGGTTATTTTTCAGTTTGACCTAGTGTTTTTGTTGTCTAAATTATTAGCTTCTGTCAAATCGTATTCTGTTGTTAAAAAAACAATCCCTCCCCCTTTAGCCCTTCTTTTATTATAATGTCTCTTCGGTCTGCTAGATTTTTTAGACAGATGGACTCCTCCGTAGTTAAATTTGTTTTATAGTTGTTCTGACTAATGGATTGAAATTCTATATTTACTAAATTGCTAAAAAGTTTCAAGGTGGCACCCTTTGTTGTGGCTCGGATAGAAGGTTGATTTTCCTCTAAATGATTCCAATTTATTTTACCTGTTATATGTTTCTAAAATTGGATTCATAGATGGAATTTTTAAGAAATGTCTCTTAATCGTAAGTTTTCTAATACATTTCTGCAGATCTACAAATAATTTTAATTAATTTAGAGTTTGAAACCAGTCTGAAACAAACAGCCAAGTAGTGGTTAACAACCTTTGGAGAATACTAGGAGCCATTAGCTATTTGGTGACTGGCTTTAATTAGTAGAAGCAGGTAATTCTTTGCCATCACTGGTACTATTTTGCAGACAATAGACACCCAACCCAACAGCAGGCATTTTAGCAAGTAGTGGCCAGCTGGGAAAAGAAGCAGCAAAATTGAATGAGTCAGTTTAAATCAGAGGTTCTCAACGCAGTCCTCAAGGACCCCTTACCAGTCCAGGATTTAGGGATTACCTAGGTGTGTCTAAGGTGTTTAGAAAAAGAAAAAAAAAACACCTTAGACACATCCAGGTAATCCCTAAATCCTGGACTGGTAGGGGATCCTTGAGGATTGGGTTGAGAACCCCTGGTTTAAATAAAAATATGTGGGAGAAGGAGCTCCCCCTGCTGTAAACTGATCTGTGATGAAAGTGAAGGAGCAACTATATTCCTAACCATAATAATTCTGCCCCCACCAGCACCCACCCAGTGATATAAAGGATTAAATTACCCTTTAAACACTTGCCTGATTCCATTGCTCATATCCCTCGGCGCTGTGTCTGGCTCCTCCTCCGCTAATGTCATAACGCACACATTAGCCTATGGGGATTCTAAAAATGCTGGACGTGTTCATGCAAAGCGTGAGGACGTCCAGAGTCGTTTCACAGAGTAATCCTACATGAAACATCAGAAAGCACCTCTAGTGGCTATCTGGTAAACATTGCAGGGTTAAGAGGACAGGGACACTGCACTTAAAGTGTGCCTTTAACAAATCAAAATATCTAGCAAATATCCAGTATTTTGAAGATTACATTTACTAATGCGGATTTAAAGGCGCAATCCATTGAACATTTTAGGATTTAATTGTTTTTGTAAAGAATTTAGTATATATACCTCCAAAGAAGGCATTCATGCATATTCTTTGAGGGTACATGAAAAAACAGCTGCTTGCCAAGTATAGACGTTCAATCATGGAGACTCCTCTGTGATGGAAATGTGCACGTAAACGCAATTGCAGCTTTCAATAATCAATAAATAAAATTCTGGAGCACACTTTGGTTATTACATTCCGGATGCGTATTTTGATATTCTCTTTATTTTTGCCTCCTTGGATGCATTTTGTTAATTCTGAATTCTAAATATCAGCACTATGTCTTTCTAGAGATGTCTTCCGTAGCTCCTGGTGTTTAGCTCACAGGTTCAAAACATGTTCCAAAATTTATGTGTTTTTCCCTTTAACTGGGAAAATATGAATAAACTGCTTATAGAAAGCAACAGCATCTTCATTACAAAGAAATGTACTGCTTAATGAATATGCATCTTACGAAAAAATAATAATTTGCTCCATTTAGAGTGATGCCTGAAAATATTTGCGTGATATAATGTGTATGAAATGCCGATAAGTAAGAAATATAAAAATCAGGTAATTTCTAACACTGTATGGTTAATATATGCTTTAAGAATACCCTTATTTTATTTTAATCTATATCATTTGTGTTTATTTATTACTGGTATTTATAAAGCACCGACAGATTCCGCAGCGCTGTACAATTAGTGGAAAACATACAATATACACAGACAAAAATACAAAAGTTAAAGAGGGCCCTGCCCGTAAGCTGAGATCTAGCCATTAAAGCTCTTTTATACAAAGTGCTTAGTTAGATAGCCAGTGGGCTTACAAACTGAGAGACAAAACATTTGTTTACATTTTATTTAACCGGGGTGTCATACTCATACTCCAGTTCTTATAATAATACTTTTTAAGGGTTTTAGATTTGATGGCACCCCTCCTTATTACTAGGGTGAGGGTGTATAGGTAAGGACTTTATTTTAAGGGGATGGCTAGGGCACCTGGGATAACTATTATATGGGGGTTTGGACAATGGCATGTCCACCCAGTATTTTATAATTAATAAAGGCCCCCACCTGCCGGCATGGGTGGGGGCTAGCTGAGAAAACATTTGGTCCCTCCCTACTTTATAAATATTAGGGCCCTTAACAGGTAGCATAAGTGGGGCCCAAGGAAGACGACACTAGGTCCCCTGTTCATTAATCATATTAGGTCCTCCACTTACTGGCATGGATAAGAGCTAGGGGGCATGGATAAGAGCTAAGTCTCTCCTAATTATACATAATAGGGCCCTTACCTACCGGTATGGGTGGAGGCTAGGGGATAAAATAATAGGTTACCACCCTTAAAATTTAAACTAGCCCCAATGTCTACGGGTGGGGTCGCAGGGAGGACTATGCCCTTTATTTCACAGGCCCCATAACCATGGGTTGGCTCCTTTTCTAGCTACTGGGCAGCAATGACTGTCGAATCACTAGTTTTAAATGTTTAGTAGACATTCTTCAGATGACAGGTGAAGGCATATGGCGGTAATATGGGGGTCCTATTAACCCCCATAGGATTTTTTATCTCTCTATCTATCAATTTATTTATTTTTACTATTTCACTATTTTACTATTTGGCTAGCAAACACTGATCAGCCACCACATGATTAACCCAGCTAGTGCAGCCAGCAGACAAATAGTTCTTTCAATGATCAATTAACTTGCAAAAAGCAAGTGGATGATAATTTGCGAATGACCATCCTACCAGATGCGTTCGGTTTATCATCGGCCGCCATGTGGTCGTTGATAAATCTTTGATTCCGGTGCTGCAAATTGGTTTTGCTGCAGACATTACTGATTTTCTAAACTCATTCAAACAAATGTTACAGAATCAGTCGGACCAACCGAATTGACAATGTGGTTGAATTCGGCCATTTTCACCAGATATCGTCCATTCAGACAAAATCCATTGTTTTGTGAGTAACCTGGTATAATATGACTCATTCATTTAGGTGAACATTTTCATTCTTGACACCTCGTTGAGAGGTATAAATCCCCCTTCTCTGTAATGCAATGCCATCTGTTTCAAAGATGAAAGGAGTAAACTACAAGGAATTGTTGTCTTGGAAACAAGATAGGCTATTATCACGACTGAGATTTATAGTCTTATCAATGTGCTCATTTTATTAAGATCTAGATTGTAGCACTTATCCTCCCCCGATAGTTTATGTAAATGAAATGCTCTTTATATTGCATTCACATTTTGAGAATATTTTTACTTATTTACTTTATTTATTTTTTCTTTTCTGTTTTAGACTACCTGTTTTCCTGAGCTCATTGAAGTGGTCTGGGTGCAGTGTCCCTGTCCCCGTTTAGTCCTGCAATGTAAATCATTGACTTTTAGAAGCTTATTTGCCCTGCACAGAGGTTTGGTCAGCCAATATTCCACTGCGGATTGCTTGTGTGACTATAGTCCAGGAGGGGCTGCTGTGTCACCAGTGCTATTACAGCTGCCAGCAGACAGTCAGCACCGCCTTGCTAAGTGTAGGCCGCCATTTTGACATCCAGGTTTGCAAGTCTGAGTGTAGGATAAGCTTGTTAGGGATCCCTCCAGTGGGGACTGGATTAACCCTAGCGGTTCATAAAGGGGAAACTGGGCCAGTGAGGAGTGTCACAGAGCTGTTATATGGTAGCCAGGAATGTGAACGGGGCAGCAGATGTTTGCCCCGCTTCTCTCCCAAGTGGACCTCAGGCACCAACGTGTCATGTCGCCCGCCCTCAGGGGTCTCAAAACATGCCAATTGTGGTAGCGCCAACAACCACCAGCAGACTGCGGTGAACCTCATGGCTTAAATAATAATAGTGAACCTGGAGTTTCAGCCGTAAAGGCCAAATCTAGCAGAGCCAGATCTCCAGCATGCGACCGATAAGCAAGGCGGTCAGACCACCTCACCTCCCCATTTAATAATTTTTAATGTATATATCATGTATTCACAGTCATTGAATTTTACTCCATAGTTTCCCTTGGCAGATATTTATGTGTAGGGTAAAAATAATAAAATGAAAAATAGAAATGAACACCGCTGTATTTTTATTTATTTATTTTTATCCTGTAGCTGACAGCCTACATATTGGCTCCCTGGCTCCCACTGATGTCAATAATAGCTTCTTAGAGGTCTACAATGTCTATTTGGCCTTTTGATGTTTTTGATGTTCTTCAATGTTTCTTTGAAAATTAACTGTTGTTTTGTAAATGTGTATATGAATTGCCCTCCTCATCTATACTGCAGAATTTTTCTTCTATGCATTCCTCTCACGTGATCCTGATACCACAGACTACTTTGTATTTTATTTCCAGTGACCAGTGAAGAAATGTGGATGTTTTGGTGAAGACGTTGCAACAAAGGCCACTTATTTTCTTTAAATGCATGTCCTATCGTAGAATCTACTACTCTACTTGTCATTTTACTTCAAATATTAACACAGATGATATTAGAAATATTCCCACTCTTTAGGTTGCCATAACTCCAAACATGGACAAAGAGGGACACTTAGGGGTGGGGAAGGTGTGTGGTCCACGGTGGGGCTGTTATTAAAATTTCAGGTATTTTAACAATAACAATTAATGCAAATAAAATTTAATTTAGAACAAGAACAGTGTATATTTTTTACACAACCTGAATGCTTAAAGAAACACTATAAGGTCAGGAGTACAAACATGTATTCCTGACCCTGTAGTGCTACACCCACCATTAAGGTGGTTTTCCCCCCACTAACCCCCCTGAAAAACTCACCTTATATCCAATTTTTCCAGTCCTTATTTTGAATCAATGCATCTCTGTGAGGAAATTTCAGCGTCCCATGCAGAGTGAACGTTGAATGGCAGAACTGCCTACTGTGCAGCACTTAGCCAGGAAGCACCTCCAGTGGCCATCTGAGGACTGCCCACTTGGAGGTGTCCCTAGGGGCAATGTAAACACTGCCTTTTTTTCTCTGAAAAGGCAGTGTTTGCATGAAAATGCCTGAAGGGAGCTATTTTACTCACCAGAACAACTACATTAAGCGGTAGTTGTTCTGGTGACTACTATAGTGTTCCTTTAACATATTTATTTTAGTTTAAAGACACATCACTGTGAGTGTTATCACTGTGGAGCTCTGTTATACACCCAAACACACCAACAAAGTGGAGCTCCTAGAAAAGAAAGACATTAGGATAGAAAAGAGTGACGGAGGGATTTGGGTCTAAAATAGAGACTGTCCCTCCTAAACAGGGACACTTGGGAGGTATGGAATGCTAGGTTTTCTGTTAAAGATAGCTTTATAGCTGGAAGGTTCTGATGTGCAATGTGTTTCTAATGGTTAATATATTGAATGACTTTCTTTAAAATGTTCCTAAGTCTATAGGTATATGATATAGATTTTATGTAAATGAAAAAATTGTAAACCTTAAACATCTGACCATATTTATTAGAATAAAAATGCTTGCATAAAAGCTGATTTTTACAACTGTGGGGCCTTTGTGCATTTACACTTGTTAGCAACTTTGTGCAATGAATTTTAGTTTTTCCATATTTATAAACATTATGTTATTAAAATGTAATTTCAAATATTAGAGCACTGGAAAAAGATTAAAAGGTCACATTTTTAAACTGTGAGACAGATTGAAGGTGCTTGATTGAACCCAGTAATGCCAACCATTTTCATGCTTGAAATATAATTTGGTGAATCATATATTGCCGCAGAGTATGATTACCTACTCAATGTGAGTATAAAGGACTAGGTTATTTTATACAGGAGATAACCACATACTTTAAAATATAATGTGTACATTTGTTGCAATTGGAAACTAATAATTTTTAAGTAGGGGATCAGGATGACAGATTTGGGCATTTTATGAAATCTAAAATAGAAGCTCCAGCCCTTAGGGGTTTTAGAAATTGATTTGATAAATCTCAGTCATTTTGGTATTTTCTCTGACTCAATGACAGGTAAGCTGAATTATAACAACAGCGTTATTTAGCTTATCTCTATCTATCTGTCCGTCCTTCCATCCATCCATCCATCTATCAGAAAACCACTGCCATTGCTAAGTCAAAGTACTCCAATATTGTTTGGTTGAGAGATAAATATATTGACTTTATTACTTACATTTCTGACTAATATGCTCCATGATTCGCTGCTACAATTGACATCACTTGTTTGAAACTTATTCTGTGTCATTTGTGTGAAGAGCGAAGTTGCCTAATCCAAAGATCTGGTCAAGACTAGACATAGCAACGTAAAAAAACAGTTGTATGGAGTCAGCAAATCTCCTTATTTTTACTCAAGATAGGAAATTGATTTCATGGAGTTATGAAACCCCTCACCCCACTTAGTGTGCTACTTTTTGTGAATCCCTATATACTGAGGGAGAGGAACTACAAAACAACGCATGTTCCAGAAAGTGCTCCTATCATGCTCTTTTTTCAATACATAATTGGAGCCGTGACCAGGATTTTTAGGTTAAGGAAAACAAAGAATCAAATATACTTATTGTCTGGAATAGCTGATGCCCAACACGCAGAACTTAAGTAGATATGAAGAAAATTCCTAAGACGTATTACCGGGCCTTAGAATGGCCGGATTAAACGTATAAAGGAAAAAACCACAAGACAAGATAAAGACAAGACGTAGAAAATAATGGAAACAAAGAACAAGCCACGAGTCAAGGAATGGAGAAATCAGAATAGTCAGGAGCCAAGCCAAAGGTCAAGGAATACAGAGATCGGATAGTCAAAAGGGAAGCCATGGTCAAAATACTAGAATCGATACAAGGAACGCGCTCTCAGATAACCACAATGGAAACCACGACAGGGCACAGAAAAATGGACAGAACAGGTTTAAATAATCTAAGGCACTCCCTGATTGGCTGCAGGGAAGCATATGTTCGTGGGCGTGGGCATTGGAGTAAACCATAATAATAGAAAGCCTATGGGGTCACATGACACCTGCATTTGCATAAATTAAGTTTAATAAACTCCCCCCCCCATGATTGAGAGCATACCTACTAAATATATATATATGTGTGTGTGTTTGTGTGTGTATGTATGTGTGTGTGTGTGTGTCTTTCTCTCTCTCTCTCTCTATATATATATATATATATAATATGTAAGGAAATCTAGTTTCACTGGAATAGGTCACTAGTTGGCTAATCAGAATAAACTGAAGGGGTTCTTATTCTGCTAGAGTAACCTCAGCACATTATGAGAACGATAACAAAGGATGAAAGAAAGCTAATATCAGGTTAGAATACTCAGAGCAAGGTAAGCAATAGTGATGGATGAAACACTCCTTTCATTATTTGTTTCTTTGTATATTACCCTCCTTTTCTTCTTTGTTTGGAGTGTGGTATGTTTTAACAGCTAAAATCGAAATGTTGTTTTCTAATCTGCGTCAGAAATACACTTTGGTCTACAAACCAGTTCTTATGCACCGGAACTGAATATCTTTCAAATTCTATCACTTCTCAACCAAAAGTAATATTTCATTTTATTGAGTAGTACAAACGTTGTATGGAATTCTAAAAACAAACCAAAAAACAGCATAACATAATAAACTTGCAGCAGCCACAAAACAACATGTTTTACTTAAACACTAAATATCACAATTTTTAATGTGTCTTGTACCCAGGAAATAACAGTAACTATTATCCTGCTGTACCTGTGCCATGATAAGCATTCTATGCCTTGCCCTCTCCCCAATAAACATCCACTCATCTAATCTGTCTATCCCATATCTCCATTTCTCTCTGGAGAATAGTCACTACTATCTGTTACAGTAAAATGTTAATACTGAATATACCAAACCTAATAAAAATTCATACTTGGAAAAAATGTTTCTATTTACTAAGTAGAAAACTGTTGTGCGTTAACACCCAATGTACGAAATGTACAAATGTAAGACATATACAAAAATTACTCAGTTGAAAAAGAGGTTTGAATAGTACATTTTAGAAGTATGTTGTGCGCTCATCTCACTGATTAGTAGGTAGACCTCCAGGCTAGCATCAAATATTTGTAAGAATTTTTTTAAACCAATTTAAAATGGCTGTCCCCAGCATGGTTTCAATTAGTCGGTGGGACAGCTCTAGCTTTAACGAGGTTAACTCTAAAATATGTATGATCTCTACATTTCTAAGTTAAAGTCAACCCTGTCCTTCAGTTGTCAAATTTTAATTGTTTATTGTAAAAACGTCAATGCTGTCACTGTGTTATTATCCACTGAGACCTCCATCATTGTAGACCAGTTGCGATTATATGATAATTTTCTAGTGCTTTCATGGTCTCAAGTCAAGTTAAGTCATGCTGGGTTGGAATAATTTCTTAGAAATGAAAGGATTTAAGGACATTTTTCTTTAGTAATTTTAGTATTTACTAAATCAATAACGTCCACACCATATTCCCTTGGTGGATGTTGAAATAAAAATCAAAATATTACTTTCATATGACCTTTTATTACTCCAGCTGACAGGCTTCTGAATCACAGTTAATCATACAGATTTCTGAAAAACCCCAAGCCGTTCCTTTCATCATTTCCACCAAGTAGAAAGGGAAGACTCAATATTTGAAAGCCTTTCACAACCTTAACAGCCTGTCAAAATAATGTTTCAGGTTTTTCATAAACCAAATCAAATTAATTTTCTTGAACGCTGCGGATGTCTGACAAAACCGTCTTCCAGGCAATGTGATTAAAGTGCAATAGTGACATTTAGAGTTTGATGGTTCTTGAGAGAGTATTCTTAATATAGTTTTATTGTATTTAATAACATTTTGTGTTCAATGTCAGGTTAAAAGACTTACCCTTACCCCCATACGCTAAGCATGATGCATAAGAATTGAACGTCTACTGTTTTATCCATTAGCAGTAATGGGGAAGCAGTTCTAATCACAGAGATATCATTAAAAGTGCACTTTAAATGCCCTAAGCACTCATTGGAGTGTTTGTAATATACTACGTTAAAGGGCACATTCGCATTGGGATAGTTTTGCAAAAAACTTGCTTACCCCATCACCCATGGCCTGCCCAGAGCAGGATTAATTA